GCGAAGGCGACGGCGCAAAAGGCGACGCGAAGGCGGCTGCGCTAAGCGGCGGCTAGGAAGGGGAGGGAACGGGCGGCGATAAAGGCGACCGCCGGCGCGACTCGGCATCAAAGCCGACCGGCCGGCTAGGTCTAGCGGCGACGGCACGCGGCCGACGACGGCTGCGACCGGCGGCACGGGAGGCGGCGGCGGCAGTCGGAGGCGACGGCACACGACTAGAAGCGGCGGCGCGGCACTAAGAGGAGAGGAAGGGGAAAAGAGGGGAGGGATGCCTCACCGAGGGTGGCCGGCGCGGAGGAAGACGATGGCGAACGGCGACGACAAGCCACGGGAGGACGACGTCGGCTAGCGGACGAGCTTCGGGGTGCCCTAAGGAAGGAGAAGAGAGGGATTAGAGGGAGGGAGATGAACCACGGCGACCGGAAACCATGGCCGAAGGCGGCGGTGGAGGTGATGCTCACCCGTGCGCGAGGGGATGAGGGCTCCGGCGACGAACCTCGACGGAGGAGGGGTGGACGGGGTGGATCTCGGCCACGCGAACCCGACGGCGGCGACGGCGCAGCCTGGCGGCGACCCTACCGGCGGCTAGCGGCGGCCGGAGCAGCGAAAAAGGCGGCGGCAAGGGGTTGCACGGCGCGGGAGCGATGGGAGGCTCGAGAGAGTGCGGCGAAATGGGGAAAAAGTGAGAGGGGACGGCGGCGGTGCTTAAATAGGGGGAGAGGGAACCGGACGTGGCCGGGAGAGGCGGGAATCGCCGGCCGACGTGGGGAGTGGGGGAGGAGAGAGAGGCGGGATTCGATTTTCGAATCCCGGCCATCTCGGGCGCGGGCGCGAGCGGGAGAGAGGGGGGAGTGGGCGCGGGAGACGCGGCGCACGCGCGGGCGTGGTTGACGTGGCCCGGAGAAGGCGGGGACGTGGGCGCGGCGGCGGTTTCGGCGCGGCGGCGCGCCGGGAGCGGCGGGAGGTGGGGGACGGGCCCGACAGGTGGGCCCCACCTGTCGGCGACCCCGAGAGAGGAGGCAGCGGGGCGGCCTGGCTGGGCCTCGGCCTGCGGCCGGCCCAGTAAGGGGGAGGGAAGGAAGGAGGGGAATGGGCCGGCGGCCCATTCGAAAAAAAAAAAAGGAAAAAGGGAGGGAAAAGAAAAAGAAAAAGAAAAAGGAAAAAGGATTTTCCCTGGAATTAAAAATATTGCTTGCTCAATTTTAATTGGTTAAAATTATTTCTAGAGCTCTGAAAATTCCACTAAAAATCCTGTTAATGAATTTCGACATGTAGAACTCAAGAAAAATTCCACATGTCAAATCCGATTATTATTTGCATTACTTTCTTAGGGTTTCCTCTTGATTTCACCTGCATTTTCTTAGGGTCATTTATAAATTACAATTTTGGCTTGGGAGGAAAACTTCGGGGTGTGACAGCGGCGCTCCTCCTCGGGTGAACGGCGACGGCTCGAACGGGACGACGAGCTGCTAAAGGAAGGTATGCACGAAGGTTGTGAGGTCAAGGAGATGGTGTATGCACGACGAATCGAACAATGGCTTACCGAGGCAGCGGTAATCGACGATGACGGCGGAGGTGAGTTCGGATCAGCGTCGAGGAAGAAAAGGATGTGTTCTCCGTGTTCTTGATGTTTCTGGCTAGGGTTCTTGAGGCGTCTTGAAGAGGTGGTCGAGGCGAGATTCTTGGCATAGCGGCTTGCTTCGGGATGGACGAGAATGGCCGGACGACAATGATGTCGAAGCGGCGACGCTCCGGTGCGTGCTCCAGGGCGTCGTTGGCGTGGTCATGTTCCGGTGGCTGTGATGCACAAAACGGGAGGTGGTCAACAAAGAAGTGGTTCGGCATTGTGTGGAGAGATGGGAATGCGAAAGAGATAGAGGTGACCTTGACACAAACGGAGATGGCGATGGTCGTCACCTCCATGGCCGGTGGTGAGGTCGCTGGTGACGGAGAGGCAGAGGACCTGCTCCCCTCGGCTTCTTCGGCTCTGAGTGATGAGTGAGGAATGGCGACTCAGACTGGAGGAGAAGAGAGCGAGAAAAGGAAAGCCCGAGGTCGTCGACACATTGTGGCCACGCGTCGGCTCGCTCGATCTCTCCCTCTCTGTGTTCTTGGTCGGCTGAGGGTGAGGCACAGAGAAAGGGCGAGCTGGAGAGGCTTCCAAGTGGGCCCAGGATGAAGTGCTCTAAGTGGAAGAGAGAGGTGTGGGTAAGATTCTGGGTGAACACGGTTTTAGACGAATTTTTAGATTATTTTCTCTCCCCCTAAATTTGAAGCTTCATAACTTAATGGGTGGACCAAATTAATTAGTGTTGATTTTACTGGAGTTAAATGATTACACCTAGATTCCATTTTCTTTGGTTGCACTAAAAAATAATGGATAGATTAATCACAGAAATTAAACAAAGATAGGCTATTTAAAGGCTAGATTGAATTTTTAGGAAGCCTAAACAGAGGAGGAAAATTCTAGAAAAATTATATCTAGGCATGATAAATAATCTAGTATTTGAATAAATTATTTTCCATGTTCACTTATGTGCAGTTAAATGTACTTTTGGATGAAGTATGGCTTTAGCCGATTAAAATTTAATTTGATTTCTCTTAATTGTCTGATTTGACTGATTAGTTTGAGGTATTAAACTTAGTTATTAACTTAGTACCAATATTTTAGTGAATTGCTTATGCTAAATATAGTTTACATAAATTTTTCCATGATTTCATTTTGCACAGATTATTTTAAAGAATTAGAATAGCCTTTCTTTGTATATGTGTTCCTACTTCATAATTGCACCTAATATTATTATAGGGATTACATTAAACTTCTTTTGGGCTGAGAAAAATTTATTAGAATTTAATATGAAGTCCACATGTTATCACCCAAGATTAACTATAGTTTTGTTTAGTAATTTTAAACCTTTTAGTTTATGCTCATGAGACCTATTATAAAAAGCGAGACCAAAATCCAAATGCACAATGGACTCAAGCCTAGTCATGCATTATGCACATGTATGCTCAAATGCTTGATGACATTTCTAGTCTAATGTTTGGAATGAAAAGGTTTTTATTTTGTTCTCAAATTTTAATCATGCAATGGTTTAAGTTGGTCATCACTTAAGTTAAAACGGAAATTTTTGGCTCTCAAAATTGGAGAAGTTAACCTCTAACTATTTTGAAAAGGAATTTTAAGTCCTGAAATTTTGGGTATGTTACAAAGATATTTCCTCTTCTCTCGATTGATCGATCCTTCCAGTCTCTAGGCGTCGCTCGGCACGGCCGTGAGCGCCACCACCTCGCCGCCGTTTGCCACCACTCCCGCGGCCGTGCGCCGCCACCACTCCGCCGTTCGCCACCACTCCCGCTGGGCGCCGCCGCCGGCAGTCAACGCCCCACTACCGCCACCAAGCTGTAGTTTGTTTTTTCAGTGTTTCAGTTGGAAGAACATATAGTTGCTTATACTATATGTAAATACACTCTAATATAGAGGACAGAGAACTGGGGCAGTACTCATTGATTGTTCATATTTGGATGTACTAGTTCATGTATTGTGTATACTATATACATAGACATATTTGGTTGTTTATGGGAGTGTACATATCTGAAATTGGTAGCAATTTTCCATGCGATGTTGTTCAGAATGGCAGCTGGAAGAACAGGAATCTGCATGGAAATTGGTTCAGTTTCAGGCTTTCAGCGGCACAATACCGACAGCTTCAGTTTGCACTTGTTCCTGTTTGGGTTATGTAATCTGAAGAAAGGAAGATGGATAGTTGATCATATGTTCAGTTCTTGATGATATAAAATGCCTGGCAGTTAACTACATCAGTAACTTTGGCTATCAATTCTAGCTAGAATGACATCAGCTGCAGGCTGATCGAGATGAAGCACAACGACAATGCTGGTCAGAGACTGAGAGTAACGAAGCAACTGTGACTCTCAATGTTATGCAAGAAACATAGTAACTACAGTCTCCTGCAGAAAAAGTAAAACATGAGCTTGGTGCCGACGGGAACTGGGCCGCCGGCGAACAGTAACGGCGGGGGCGCTTGGTGGCGGTGGGGCGTCGAGGGCGGGCGGCAGCGCTTGGTGGCGGTGGGGCGTCGAGTTGGCCGGCGGCGAGGCTTGGGGACGGCGGGGTGGTGGCGCTCACGCCCGCGGCGCCGGAGTGGATGTCGATGGCGCTCAGATCGATCGATCCAGACTCCAAAGGATACGTAACATACTCAAAAATCTTAAATTTTTGGAGAAATTTTTTTTTCGCGACAAGTTTTCCTTTTGGTTTTTATTACATTTTACTAAATTGGAGCATTTCCTATTTTTGTCCTTTTCAAATTTATATCTCTAATTAATTAGGTTGTGTTTCTATTTCAAAAACTTTCAAATCCTTTTGGTAATCTAAAAGCTTTATTTTAAATTTCTTTGTCAAATTCAAAAAGTACTCAAATTTATCTCCTTAAGTTCCATCTCCTTTGAATTCTATTTGCAAATTGTCAAAAGCTCCTATTTAGTTTAGGCCGAAGTCCCTTCATTCGGCCCAATTGGCAAAAGTCTATTCAGCCTCCCTCCTCCTTCCTGTGAGCCGCCGCCGCCACCGCTGAAACCAGGCGCCGCCGCCACCCAGCCAAACCGCCGCTGCCCAGCCAATCCGCCGCCGCCACCTCGCCGCCACCAGCCAATCCGCTGCCGCCACCTCGTCACCGCCCGACCAATCCGCCGCCGCCACCGCTGCAACCAGCCGCCGCCGTCGCCAACCAATCCGCCGCCGCCATCTCGCCGCCGCCGCCACCTCACCCAACCAATCCGCCGCCGCCACCGCGCTCGACCAATCCGCCGCCGCCACCTCGCCGCCTCCAGCCAATCCACCGCCGCCACCTTGCCGCGCCGCCTCCCCACCTCCAAATCGACGCCGAGCCGTGCCGTCGTCGACCACCTCTCCCTCCACCGCCTTTGCTTCCTATAAAAACCGGCGAACCCCTCCATTTCCATCACAAAAAAATCGAAGCTCCAAGCTCTCTCTCTCTCTCCCTCTCTCCAATCCATCACCGCCGGCCGCCGTTCTAAGTTCCCCCACAACCGGCCGTCGGCTTTGTTTGTGCGCCGCCTCCAGCCGCCGTCGCCGTCGCGCGTCAGCCGCCGGAGCCGCCCCTTCCTTCCCCTCGCCGCGCCCTCTCCCTCCTCTCTCTGTGCCTGTGAAGAAGAAGGGAGGAAACAAGAAGAAGAAAGGAGGGGAGAAGAAGAAGAAATAAAGGAAAAAGAAGAGGACTGACAAGCGGGCCCCACTGCACAGTACTCTCTTTTTCTTTTATTTGTTTTTCAATATTTAGGAGCTCATATCTCTTCAACCACAAGTCCAATTCCAGAAAATCTTTGACCTAAATTCATGTAATTTCAAATCCTTTATTTCTATACCAAATTTCCTATTTTTAAAATTTTATTTAAAATTCTTTACTTAAAAACCTTTTCCTTATTTAATTATTTACTTTCTAATTCTAAATTATTTTAATTAACCTTTAAATATATATATATATATATATATATATATATATATATATATATTTAAATTTATTTGATTTACTTTATATCCCTTTAATTTTAAATTTCTTGTTCTAAAAACCTTTTTAAAATTTAATTTTCCTTTAATTTCTTTAAATGCCATTTTCTTTCGAAATTCAATTATCTTTTGCCCTTTTGCCTTTGCCTCTCTTCATGCTCCAATTTTGTTATTTTCTTTTATTTTACCGTTTATCTGTAGTACTTTTCCTTATAGGTTTTATTTGCTATCTTTCACGTATACTTACGTTAGACAATCCAGAAGATCCGGTTAACATCACAGGAGCTGACGTGGACACAGCCGACTACGCTAAAGCCCCTGAAGATTTCGAGGTGCAAGGCAAGACATAAAATCATATAGAAACCTTAATCTTCATATTTAAATTTGATGCATGATATTTACTCTTTTAACATCTCATGGGTAGATGTTATACTTCAGAATAACATTGTAGTGATTTGGAATAATTGGTAATGATTTCAAGCATTATTGCATGAGATTATAGAAAGAAACATTGGTCATCATTTTATGTGAATTACTATTCCAAACAACTTTACAAACTTAGGAATCCGGTTAAAATGGGCATTTATGAGTTGAGATTGTGAATATTGAGGTTTATGAATGTTGATATATGATGAAGTTTGTTGGTGTGGGGAGTTTGGAAAGTTTTGGGTGGTTTAACCGGATTATAATTACCCCCTTATACCATGGGAAATGACATAGTTGCGTCCATCCACACGACCAAGTAATTGGACTTAGCCTAGTACATTGTCCCACTATATGAAAGACTGTTGGTTGGCTCACTAGGAGCAGGATTGGGGTGAACGCATGTGTAAGGAGGTTGGGGGCATGGTTCACAACGGTGGAACCCGTGAAAGCAGCGACCATGTAGCCTTGCTTATGCCCAGCAAGTGCCCGACTGCTAAGACGGATCAATATCCCACTCGTGCAGTAACTAGTAGTAAGTGGGACCTTCGAACGGCTCTGGTGTCCTCAGCCTTGCAAACTATTGATATCGTGTGGGTAAAGCTGGACAGTCTCTGCAGAGGTAAATTAAATCATTCAAATGTGCTGTACTCCCGGTTCTGGAGTTGTGTCATAAGGGTGATTCCTACTCCTGACGTATAAGTAATTTTAAACATAAAATATTAATGAAGATAATGAGATTTTGTTGTTGTGCTTACTTTCTCTTTAATTCAATACCTTATGCTTAAGATGATGATATTTAAACTTCTGTAATAATATTCATATCATATTTATAAGTGTCTTGCTGGGTACATAAGTACTCACTCTTGCTTAATCTAACATATAGAAGAACCGTATTACGAAGAAGTTCCAGAAGGTAGCGAGGCCTACTTCAATGATGAGTTTTTCTAGGCTTAGTCTCCACTCAAGCTTATGTCTGTGAAGTTTAGTAGCTTTGGGTTTTTCTTTGTACTTTCAAATAAGGTTGTAATAGTTTAGATCTTTAAAACCATTAACAGTTGTATAATTAGTTTGTATGAACAAATTTGTATAATTAATCAGAAGCTGTTTTGTATATCAATCTGTGCGTGATCGAAATCCTGGACGATCACGAGTGAATTTTCGGGGCACCAAGCCTAAATTGGGTGTCCCCACAGGATATCACACCCTTTGATCTGACAAGCGGGCCTAGGGGCAAAACAGTCCACAATGCCTGAAAAGAAATACAAATTGATCTATGAAATGAGAAATACATAAAAAAAACTGAGAAAGTGGTACCAAAAAGACTAATTAGCAGTCCTAATGTCATATTAGAGAGGGCATACGGATTAGGTGGTAAAAAAGTTGAGGCACGAGAATTGGATGGTAAATACTCTAAATTCTCTTCAATGCATACCAACATGTTGTCAACAGTGAAATTTGGTAATCAGCAAAGACGTCATCGGCTTAAAATCATTATCGGCTGCAGCATCTCGGAATCAGCCGATGTGACTTATCAAGTCGCCAATAGTCGGATTTCTGCTATATTCGGTTAAGGAAATCAATCTACTAAAGGAAGCTTATCCATAAGTAACTGAGTTTAAAGAGGATGCGGCATGGCAGTTTATCTATTAATTAGGAATAGTTTGTTAGTTTTCTTTTATCTTTAGGAAAGTGTGTTTAGTGTCCGATAAGGACTTTATGTTTTCCTTTTATCTTTAGGTTAGTTTCTTTCTTGTCCGACAAGGACTTGTATCAACCCATGGGTATAAATATGTACACCCGGGGTCTATGTAATTTATCTTCACGATCAATACAATTCGGCGCATCACCACCTTTTACCTTTTCTACTTTATTTTATCGTCCGGCGGGACTTGGCACCTGACGTGGGGCTGCATCGATGTTCGATCTCCGGCGAAGGGGTAAGTCCAATGTTCCGTCGGCCCAGGCAATTTCTCATCTACATCAGCGTCGTTCAAGGCTGCACCAATACATTCGACCTCTTGGATTGCTCCGGTTTGGATGATATATTTGTCTACCTATTTATCATATGTATCTGTTAATCTAGTCTTAGCATATCAATTTACCTCTATCGGCTGCTTCTCGCTTTAGGGTTTCTACCAGTATCGGCTAAATCGTGTTGCTAGATTAGATTAGCTTAGACATTTACCACCCTGAAAATCAGTCAACGGCTTGATTGTGTAGATATTATGTTTCTTTTCATACTTAGTGCTGCATCAGTTAAGTTTGATCTACTAAGTCGTGCTTAGAACCATAATCTCTAGCCTGTTTCTTGATTGCCAATAAGAGTTTCATCGGGGTTTCAGCCGATGAGTTATCTGGACGTTGCATCGGCTCGTAAGGATTGCATATACATATAAGTTGGATTTAGCCGATCGCAACAAAGGTTTTACTGTTTAATCTAATCTTGTGGATTTTATGACATCGGACCTCCAGCCGATGTATGCTTTAACCGTCGGATCAATGCTTGTTCTATTATATCATATTATTTGCCGATTGGTTTATACTAGATTATATTGCTATATTATTACATCATCATCAGCCGATTGCCTTTATATCATTATCTACATTGGACATATAGCCGATTGCTTAAACCTTATCGCTATCGGCTGGTATCGGCATAGGCTATTATCGGCTATCGGCTGGAACTACTCCATCGGCTTGTCAGCCGATCGGCTGTTTTGTCTATTATTTGCATATCTTATCAGTTGCAAGATCAAACTGACTGGCACGCCCGCATCTCATCATATTTGGACCTGCACAGGAGCTAAGCAGATCTCCCAGGCCAGTGTGTTCGATTTTTTCGTCAACACATGTACTTTTCCATGCGTATATCTCTACTATTATATAAAAATTAAAGAAGTTTCTGCCAGAATTTGGGTATGATATCCGTGTTTGAATCGGTTCTAATTTTATGTTTCTGTTAAATCCTTTCCTTTTTTTTCTTACAACAGAGTGTCCATCTTATTCGAGACGCATGCGAAATAATTGGCCCGCACCTTTTCATGCACCCTTGCCGCACGTGGCTATCGGGCCCACACCTGAGTCCGTTTTCTAGTTTCCACACGCTTGCCGCCACTATTGGATCCGCAACTCGTGTGCGCGATTTTCCGCATGCCTGATTGGGATTGTGTCCCCATCGCCCACGATTTGGCCTTGCCGCATGTCCGATTGAGATTGTGTCCCCCTCGCCCACGATTTAAAATTTGAAGATGTGTTGTGTCAAAACTATGGTACGTTGTCCGTATCCGATTCCCGTCTCGCGTAACATTCATTGACTCGCGAGCAAATTGTGATAGAGAGTTTGTGTGATGTGGATACGAAGAGAATGTAACTCGTAGAGTCCGTGTTGATATCACGTACGTCGTTGCCCAGATCATCCGTTTCTATTCGAATTACACGACATGAATCCTGGGACGTGTTAGCATGATTTCAAGTCGTCTCCACACATACTCGTACGAATTACCAGGAATACCATTACAATAATCCATAAGAGTCAGTTTTACCGTAAAAATGAACATGCCAACCAAAATAAAGGATAATCAAAGTTGCTGATTCGGTCCATTATCAATTCCTGCCCGACTTGAGATAAAGTTGAACGACAAATCGAGCTCGTGTTTGAAGGCCTCATTATTTGGCTTATGCTTATTCCTATAAGACAAATTTTAAATTTTAGAACTAAATTTTGAATTCAACTTTTTGTTTTTTTATCGCACTTTATTCTACATAATTTGTTTTTGAGTCGCTAAAAACATGTATATAAAAGATTTGCACACAAAATAGTCTTTCATTTGGTAATAAGTGATTTGGATAAGCACATGAATAAACAAAATAATGGGTTGTAATTATTTATCCATGACACATATGTAAAAATTAAATTGGTTCTACATGTTGCAACGCATGGACATTTTTTCTAGTATAAAGTCTATATGTGTATATATAAACTTTGTAAATAAAATTTTCAATGTATACATATAAAGTTTACATCTTTAATTCTGTCACATACATATATATACTGACCACGTTAGGCGCATCCTAGAGGGAGAAATCAGACATTGTGCTATCGTCTAAAATAGGTTTTTCCTCAAATACCCACTACAAAATGGATTCGATAAAATACCACTTACACGCTAGAAAGTAAAACTTACACGCTAGAAAATAAATCTAGGACTAAATTCTTCTTCCTCCCTCCAACACCATCAGCTCACCGACGGCTCCAGTGCGCCGTTCCCAGTCAAGTGGACGAGCTCCCTCTCTCCCGCCACCGCCTGTGTGCGAGCTCTGGCCGCGCTCCCGGCCGCGCCATCCGTTCGACGCTCGTCCATTATCAGCGGTGTGTCTTCCCGTCGGCCGTTGGCCGCGGCCGTTGCCGTTGTCGCTCGCCAGGCCGTATAGTCCCCGAGCTCGCGCCATCCTCGAGCTCGGCCGCTGCTGTCAACGAGCTCAGGCCCGAGTGGACGACGACGGCGACTGGAGGGCAAGCGGTTGGCTGCTGCCCCCCACGCGTTCGTCTGTGCAGCGAGCCCCCCACGAGTACCGATCTTTTACGGGAAACTATTTTAATCCCTCAAGAATATTGCCCCGTTATTTGTATGTCACTCAAATAATTATGAAAAAAATTAAAAAATTTTGAGAAGATATATTAACATGTGATATAACACTCCACAAACATGCAAGTTCAAATTTAACTTCTATACCTCGTAACGAAAAAAACAAATTAAACCACAGCTAGTTATCGTGTATTCAGAGTCAAATTTGTTTTTTCATGGCAAGATGTAAAAGTTGAATTTTTACTTGCATGTTTGTGGAGTGATATATATCACATGTTAATACATCTTCTCAATTTTTTTTTAAAATTTTTTTCATAACCATTTAAGTGACATGCAAATAACAATAACTTAACCCTCTTCCATCTGTTCTGCATATGAACGAATCGAGTGTGTCATGCTTGTGCTAGCTAGTAGCCTAGTATTGACCGTGCTTGTGCTGCTGCTTGTGTTCCCAATTTCCCATGGAGGCTGCACCAATCGACGATGGCGGGTGGAGGTTGAACCAGCAACTCGAGTGTGGTGGCTGCATCTCGAAGCTGCGATGGCGGCGGCTGAGCTCGAGGACAACGCGAGCGGCGACTGGCGACCGAGCTTGGGGACTGCACGAGCGGCGACAGCGACGACCGTTCTAGGAGGCTGCGACGGCAATGGCTGTGCTTGGGGAAGGAACGTCTTCATATGGGTGGGGGTGCGGTGAGCCGGTGAAGAGCAACCGGAGTTGGAAGAGGAGATGGGGATGGGAGAAGTCAAGGTTAATTTGATCATAAATAGTATTCTAGCATGTAACCATATGTGGATGTGGATTTTCATACTTTGTTTGCATGTTACTAGTTATAATTTTTTTAAAAAAAAATTGACAACATAGATTAATACGAAATATATCTCTCCATAAAAATATGCAATACCAGATTCAACTTCTACAAGTTGCAAAAAATAACAAATTAAACAAAAATACTTATCGCGCATTCACAATTATATTTGTTATTTTTGTTACAACTTGTGAAGTTGAATTTAAACTTGTATGTTTGTGGAGTGTTTCATATTAACCTATATTACCAATTTTTTTTATATTTTTTTGAGCATTTAGGTGGCATGCACGAAAAGAGGGGATATCTCCTCAAATGATGAAGTATTTAGGTGGCATACACGAAATGAGGGGATATCTCCTCGAATGATGAAATCTCTTTTCCATCGTGGCATTTTATCGAATCTATTTTGCGGAGTGGCATTTTGGGTAAAACCTACTTTTTGACGATGGCAAAATGTCTTGACTTCTCCCCTGGAGGGGGTACATGCCTTGAGCAAAGGGTTGGCCCCAGCCCCCAGGAGACTAACTGCAACCTAATCGAACTATTTTTGGACCGGTGAGCACAAAATAAGGTCATCAGCGCATCGGCGGATGGTCACACGGACGTGTTCTAAATTCTCCATCGAACGACATACGATTCCTACACTTCCAGATGTTCCATAGGATTGCTAGAAGAACTGTTTTGCCAAACTTCTGGGGAGAGCTGGGAGTGTGGGCAAAACAAATCACCGGTCAAAATTCTATTCAGAATCATCACCACCTCGCGCGCTTCTTATTCACTTTTCGTCATCGTCAGATA